GCTAAATATAGAAATTGGTGGGACGATCGAGTTTTCGATCTAAACTGAACCCTGCCGATGTCCACCGTCTTCAGAAGATACATCTTTTAATACAAAAGTAAATCAATTATATATATCATTATACAATCTTTCAAAACTAGTTTTACGCACACCAAAAATAAATATGTCTGCTACTATTGTTGAAATAGGATTTTGAATGGCAATGTAAAGCAAAGATAATTCTATAAACAATAACAATGTCTTTACAAATCTATGCATACATTGCTATGACGGCACAAAACAGGGTCATCAAGGACAAAACAAGACATTTTGCTAGCGATGCAGCTCCTCCTTCCATTTCGTCAGTATTAGGACCCGGGTAGTTGGGATTATTGGTACCCTTCGTTGTTCTGGAAGCTGTTGTTGATAATGTTGATAATGATGCTGTTGATGTCTTTATTGTTGAAGGCAATGTGGTTGATCTAGCTACAATATAAAAATATTCGATTGATTATTCTGTAACTACACTTGTATACCACCATGAAGTGTTAAACATTTTTACCTCCGACCGTCAAATCCAGGACCGCAAATTATAGAGCAAGCTTGCCAACTCACAGACGATGGTGGTCATGGATCCTCAGATAGACGTTGACTTCGGTGAAGTAAATGAATAAGGAGATATATGGATATAATAACGTATAGACCTACTTACTAGTTACTATACAGTTGTATTTTTGGATAAATATGTATATACTTGCTGTGGTAATATTACCAAGTAATGTAATATCTAATGCACTACAATGATCTCTCAAAGAATTATCTGCTGTTATACAAGTCTGGTAAGCCAAAATACTCCTGTAAAATAAGCGATAAGATGCTTGTCAAGTCTTTAACTCCACAAGAGAAGACCGTTAACGTTCCGGAAGTGACGACAGTCTGAATTTGTTGACTTATCACAGAATCGGATGTCGAAGTATAATACCATGTTATTTAGATAGCAGACATTGATATAAACCACTTGATTAAGAAAAATGATTAGACGAATATGCTGGATATCATTAGGCCTATCAACTAATTCTTTTAAATGCAAAAGATTAGAGAATTGTGATGCTAAAATGACTCGGACACAACTGTAAGAAGAATGAAAAATTTGTCACTTCTTACCCGCAGCTCATGTCGCTTTCGCCCAAGTTTTCAGTACAAATATCAACTATTTCTTCAACAGCAGAATTAAAGTAACATTGAAGAGCTTTCCTATATGCTAAAATATACAGTCACGTAAAATGTTAATTAATTTAGCCACTTATTAACATTTAAAAGTTTATACCATTATTAATATAACATTTAACAGTAGTATACCTTATGGAATTTGGAAATGGGTTTAACTTTAACTGTTACATACCATCAGTATTTTTACATATGACTGTTGCTGCTCTTAAAGCAGGTTCGAACATGCTCCTATCACTATATTGGCAATCTTGAATACTTCTATTGACACACATTTCTAACTGATCTATTATACTGAAAATAATACGGAGTTGAATAAGTGATAGATTCTCTTGAGATAACTAGTTCATTGGACCCATGCACCAGTATTTGTATTACAATAGATTATTTTGATCATAGTGAAAAAAGTAACCAGTGACAGATAACGAACACTACGCATTTAAACTGACACCTTCTCATATTAATTAATGACATTTACATATTGATTGGAGTCACCGAATTACATTTTTGGGGATATTTTACAAACAAAATATGGGGTGTATTGTATGTTAGAATCCCTGTTACTGATCATATGCATATATTTATGAATCTGCGGCAGCATTGTTAAGTACTTTCTAATATTAACAAGAAAATAAAGTCACACAATAGGAAAATAAATAACGGATATCATTAATCATAAGTACATAACTTATTAATCAAATGAGTGAAATGTCAGTGATATATAGTTTCTCGCAAAAATGTATT